CCCCAAAACCCCAAAACCCCAAAACCCCAAAATACACAACCTTCCTAGAAAAATAGTAATAATATGGTTGACCTCTTATGGATCCTCTTGAAAATAATCTTGTACCTACTGTTAGCCCTGGTGGTCTATATTGGTTATATTGGGTTTTACATTCCTATTAAGGCCAGGAGAAAGTACTCTCAGTTTAAGAATGTTCATGTTTCACAGAAATTTATCCCTTTGCTTGGAGATGCAGGACCTTATTTGGAGGACACAAATAATAATAGAGCTCATTATGATCATAAGAGAAGGATAGAGCACCAAATGGGTCCTGATATTGATTTAAAGCTTGAGCAGCTAGGAACAACTCCAATGCTTCTTGTTATCTCTCATAAAGCTCTAAAGGAGCTCTTATCTCAAATTCCAACAAAAATTGATAGATTTAACTTCGATAAGCATAAAGCAAAAAGAAGTGGCTTCTTAAAGACTGCTGCTGGATGATTTGTTAACTCTCCTTCTACGAAACGAATCCTTGAGAGGAGGAAGAACCTCGCTAAAATGTTAAGCCTACGCTCTGTCTCAAAGCATCTCCCTATCATAATCAAATGTGCTGAATTTTTGTTGAGCAAGATGAAGAAGCAAAAGGAAGTAAATATTACCGAGGAGATCACTCTATGTACTAACAGGATATTAGTTAGTATCCTATTCGGACAGGATTTTGATAAGAAGGGAGAAGACTCTTATGAATATGTCCAAGCTGATGGAACCATCACTTATTTGGATATTTGCTCCTACTTCTCTAAGTTTGCATTAGAGATGGCTGAAGAATCAACAAATCCTTTGACATTGTTTTTCCCAATTATGAACATCACAAACGTTGTAAATCCTTGGAAGAGAAATCATAAGAATGGTCAGAGTCTGTATCGTGCTGTTAAGCATATTATCGCAAACTCTCAAGATGAAGACTCAATGTGGAGCAAGATTTCAAAGGTAAGTGACTTCACAGATCAAGAAATTCTTCCAGACTTGATGATCTTGTTGCTTGCTGGCTCCGAAACGACTGCAGACAACTTTACCTCTGTGTTGTACTATCTCAAGAAATATCCTGACGTGAAAGCAAAATTGATGAAAGAACTTGAAGAAAATGATATCACCCCTGGATGTAATGCTCTTGAGAAAATAACAGTTGAAAATATCCAAGAATGAGACTATCTTTCCAATGTGGTCAAAGAATCTTTGAGAATCGATCCTCCACTTTTGTTCAGTTTATCTTATGAAGCTTATGCAGATACAGAAATATGTGGAGTCCCTATTGAAAAAGGAACAGTTCTCCTTCAAACAATAATTGACTCTAACACCAACCATTCTGACTGGCTTGAACCAAATGTTTTTGAGCCTGAAAGACATAACCCAGAATCAGAGTTTTACAATGAGTCTAAGAAGAAAGAGAAAATCCAAAATGTGTACTCTAGAAGAACATTTGGACATGGTCCAAGGAGTTGCCCAGGGATGATCCTGGCTACTCTTGAACTCAAGATATTCACTGCATATTTCATAACCCAGATGGAGTATGATGTCGCTGAAGAAGATCTTTCAAACGACCATATTGGGTTTGGAATCGGAGGAAAATTTAACCCAAAGTTCAAAATCTACTAAGGTGTATCCATCTCATAAGCATCTTCAATCACCTGCTTCTAATTTGGGGTTTTGGGGTTTTGGGGTTTTGGGGTTTTGGGG